ATATATATATATATATACTAGTAACATATTAATGCTAGTAATCATTATATACTAGTAATTTTAATTGTTAAATTGTCAATCTTTCACTCTTATTGATATACAGCATGTAAAATAAATATTGCTTTAATATTGTTTGTTATATGTATTATGAAATTTATTGCATTTTTTCTCAAACAAACACCTTTTTCCTTCTCTTAATAAAACTAAATTATTCCCACTAACTTCTGAAGATGATTATATAGAGTAATTTTTAAATACATTTCATGTTCAAAGATTTCAAATGAATTTTTTTAATTCAATTTTAACACATATACATTATATATAGTTAACAGAATAGCCGATGTTTCTTAAATATAATGGAAGAAACAATGATTAAAGTTGTCTAAATAGTTAAAGATTAAGAACATTTGCAAACATCTTAATTAAGTGATTTGAATTATATCTGTTTAATGTTCAGAAAATTCGAAATACTATAAATATGTATTTTTATAAATACTATAAATACTATAAATATAAATACTATAAATACTATAAATATAAATACTATAAATATTATAAATATGTATTTTTACTAAATATGTATTTTTATACAACAATGACTCAAGTCGTTTGAGTGATACAATATATATATTCTTTGTTTCAGATTAAATTTAGTAGATCATTTGATCTTTGTTATAGTAAACTACAGAAGTTCAATAGTAGAAAAATGTTTGCCAACCATAAATATAGCATAGACTAAAATTTATTTTAAATCAAATAAATGGAATTTATTATACACGGAGTATGCATATAATTTTATTATTTATACTTCAGAGTGCATTTTACATTGATAAATTTCAGATTTTTATTCTACGTTAATAAATTCCTCGAATTTCAATCTACAACAATTTTTATTTGAAATATTTCTTCGTTAAATAATCAAAACCAACAGCAAATACCGCGGCGGTGAATTCAGGCGAATATATTACACACCTATGTATATATACTTTTGTAAATATATTTTTTTTGCTTGCAATATTTATTTCCATAAAAATTTGACGAAACGTTTTTTTTTTTATTTTACAGTTGCAGTGTTGCGGCATCGAGGGTCCTAAAGATTGGGATCGCAACAATTATTTCAATTGTTCGTCGAGCGATATTGGCTCGAGGGAAGCATGCGGCGTGCCTTTTAGCTGTTGTAAACGAAAGCCAAATGTAATTTTTCTATTTCATGCAAATGTGTTCTATGTCTCTTTACTTCTTACTGAAAGTACTCGCGTTTTTCTAAAAAAAAAAAAAAAAAAAGAAGGAATTAATTGCATGTAATTGCAGTATTAATTTGTTTACAACTGCATAACATTTCATTGTATTTGAATTCAGATTTTTAAGTATTGATCCACTAATCAATCTCTCCCGGCGTTTTCAGGAAATTATAAAGAATAAACAGTGTGGCTACGATGTTAGAAAACCTAGCTACGTAAGTAATTTCTTTAAATTTCATATCACTTCTGACACTAAACTTCTAACAATAAGTCACATTGTTACAAGTAAATTCTTACTTGTCGTGTTTGCAAGGTTATTCCTCTTGAGAGAAAAAAATGTTCTACTAAAATTACTGCCTACATTCATTCTTTCAAAATGATGTTTTATCTTCACTCATCTTTGTTCACTATGCTTGTCATTACTCACCTTCTTTTTTTCTATTATTCCAAAAGAAATTTTTCAAACCTAACCTAAACCTAACCTAAACCTAACCTAAACTTAACCAATGCTTTTCATATGTTTTGAATGTTAATAATTAATACGTTTGAACAAGGTACTATGCTAAACTATGAACAGACATCTTTTTTATTCTCATTCGTTCATTTTCGTTTAAATCAGATGTTATTCAATTACAACCAGAATTTTGATGATAAGATATATTAAATCAAAAAGTAGCTAAGTTTGAAAATAAAATAAAATGATGTTCAATTTAATTAATAAGAAATCGGAAAAGATGTAATAACATCATTTTAAAATTACATTGTTAATTTATATTTTTTCTTGATTAATGTTTAATAAAGTTTTAAGTATATTTATATTTATACTTTTATCAATATTTAAAAAATTACTATATTACTGTTTAAAGATTTAATTTTAACTTTCTAAAAAGAATTATTTTATAAATTAATATCAATCAATATATACACTTTATATAAATAAATGCTGTTTGCTTAATATTTATTTATTCGAATTCTACAGTAAATACTGATGATAATTTTTTATATCAAAAATATTGAAATATTTTTACGGTTTATTTTATTTCATCTCCTATTTTTCTAATTGATTTCTTTCATAACAGCTACGTGAAATATTTTGTTAAACTCCTGAGGTTCCTATTTTTATATCATAGTTAATTTAAAAAAATAATTTTATTATATAGTTTGAAATTGTACTATTGAGTCACTGCATACTTATCATCTTTGATACATGATTAAAATGATTAAGTTTCTTTAGTCTCTCCATCGGTGGTCGATCGTATTAAGATTTAATAAAATAAGATACGAAAAAAGAATGAAAGGTACAAAAGACACGACTATTATACAATGGCTGGAAAATATTTATTTATTGTAAAAGAATATTTTTATCTATATGTGTTATAACATTTTATTAACGTTGTAATATAAAATGACTATTATGACTATATTGATAAAGTTTACATTCATTCTAAAATATGTATATAGAAATTACAAAATATTTATTGTAAACATATATTTAATAATAAATTTTTGGTACAAAATCGTTAAAAAAAATATAGATTGAAGAGCCATCGTAAACAAATACTTCCAACATATAATAAATCCTCAGAAGAATTTCAATATTCATGTTGTTCAAATATTTCAAAACAATTAACTAATCTTCAAAAATACATTATTAAGTAGTATACATTCACATTGTTTTGAAAAAATAAAGTTTCAGTTTTTCAGGTTTTTCAGTTGGCACACATACGTTATTATTATGTACTAGAAGGCTTCAAAGGATTCCCATAAATATAATGAATAATTGCTGTTTAATTATTCTTGTGATTTCTGAAATATATAAATACTTGCATTAAATATCTTATCATTTATACATATTTAAATATATTTCAAACTTGACCAATATAATCAGCATAATCAGGTTTCACTATAACGTTAATAAAACATCAAGATGTTTTACACGTACACTCATAATATATTCATAAAAAATTCCTAATAAGTTCGAATATTTTCATACACGCTGCACGCTATGTACAAATTCTCTAATTCAACAATTAGACTTAATCAGAATCATTTGAGATCTCCATCATTTCTCGATAACATTCACAAATTTTCATTTCGATCAACCACCGTATCGGCAATGAAACGAGAAACTGAACGTAGTACGATAATTAATCGACGATAAAATTATTTCCGCTTGAAAACGCGAAAGAAGATTGATGACAATGATGAGAATAGACACAGAAAGATACAATAAACGTATTTGTACGGGCTATCAATATGCCGCAGGCACGACAACGTAAAATCTTAAATCTTCGAAATGCGAAAACTTTCTTTCAATCATGTTGTTTCACCCCTGGTAAACGCAGACTGGGGAGAGGAGTATATACGAGAGAGGCTGTCTAAGAGCAGGCGAAGAATGGCTAGAATTGAATCTCGTATCTGTCGTTGGTACTGTTGTCAGCACAATGGTTTTACAGGTACATTACTGTTGAGACATGTCATTCACTGTGCGAAACCAGAGAGTTCAAACTTTCTCTTTTCGCGGGGGACTTTTACGATTAGCTTGGTATCGATCGATATCTGTTCTAAATTATGTTTATGATTATTATCATTGTAACTAGATTGGTAGTTCCAAGCCGCTGTGAGTGGAGAAATATTTAATAATATAACACATTTAAACAAATACAACATTTAATAAATCTTTGATACTACGAATATTTTTTATAGTCAGGGTTCTACCGGTAATTTTGCTAAGAAAACAGGTTATAGTTTGATCAATTACAAGTGAGCTGATTTTACTTGATATTTTTAGATTGCATGCGATTGAAGAAAAATAATTGGGCTTTTACGCAAATTCGTTTTGTTCTTATATTTATCAAACAATAGTTTCATGACGTATTTTTGCATACTTTGGTGGTAGCAAAGTCCTGATACGACGAGAACGATCTTTTATTTTCTGACACGTTTAAAGTTAAAAAGTGATTGTCAAAATAATTATTGTTGGAAATACGACTTCTCAAATAATTGTGTGGTATAAAAAAAAAAGTGAGAGAATGATCGACCGATGTCGAGCTATTTTCACGTATAAATATGCTGTTGAAGCAAGCGAGTTGATATGTAACGAAAATATTTAAAAAAAAAAAAAAATCTTGAGAGAAAGTTTCAACTTCTTTAACGATGTATCTTTTAGATGGAATAATGAATTGCAAACATGGTGTCGCATGTAAATGTAAAGTGTACCATGTGTTAAATATGTTAAAAATTCATTTACACACCTTTCTTATTTGATTTGCTTAAAGCATATTGTTCAATACTATATAAAGTCGCTATTTATATGTAATAACGTGATCAGTATGTAGACCAAAAAAAGGTAAACGTAACGAAATCACGTGGCTACGTAAGAAACGAAAGTAAGTACGCAGGAACATTGATAATTTTAACAAGCACGTAGAAGAATTGACAAATACTGTACTTCACATTTACAGTTCGTATATACATGTGTATATATTCAGGTTCTAAGTTCCAACGGTAAGTACCTATAACGTAAGTCAATGTTTCAATTGCAAGATTATACCACGCTAGCTTACGAACTTCACACATAATCGAATATTTATTGTAATCCCAACGTGCA